CTCTTATAGGCACACAGATGTTGAAGAATTTTTATGTAAATATCCCAAAAGTGCTATGATACAATCTTACAGAAAGAATTAAAAGTTCTGCTACTCAAATTATATGAGTAATACACCAGCATGTAGTGTATATCCTTATTACATCAAAGATTAGGCATGAGTTTACTAAGTATACTACAGAAAACCCAAGAACGTAAGAGTTTCAGAATTCCTTCAATAACGCAATAGGTTGCCGTTCTCCCCCACCCCTGTAAAACGAGTATGCAAAAAATCCACTGGGAAACAGAGCTTCCCTATTTCCATGTATAATATGGTTACAAGAACTGTTGTAACAGTGAAAAGCAAATCAGCAACGCAAAAGGACTGACCTGAGGTTGGTAACGGTTTATACAATTCCAGATATTGTTCACCATGCAGCATCTAGGTAAAGAAAGGCAGCACTATAACAACAATCAATATATTCTATTGCAAGAAAATATAGTTATTATTGAGTGTTCAGAACATACAATTAAAAAAGAACCCACCAGTTTTTTCTTTGTCCAATTTCATCCCCAACTGAAAATATTTTCAAAGAAAGTTTTAAACTTGTAGTTTAATAAAAACATAGTGAACACAAACTAAAATTTAACAAAAAATTGACCATTCATACCATCTTAGGAAGACAGAGGTTATACAAGTGAAGTAAATGAATAATTTCTTAGGAAATTGAAACGCTGAATTTTCCTTTTCTAGGATAAAGGGAGCTTATTAACATTAAAAACATACTAATTAAAGTCACCTTATAGTTATGTAAAGCACAAACAAAATTGGATACTTAACTCTTCCATACCTTTGCAAGATCAATATTTAGCCCTGGAAGAGAAGGAACACCATCAAACATCGAAGTCTGAGCAGGAATTACTCCAAAGCTAGGTAAACAGCAGAACTCTTCACTTCCTTCAAAGAGAAATTTGAGGTGATCTGGATCCTTAGTTGACATTCCAACACCAAGGGCATACAGAATAGGCTCTAAGTGAGTATATTTATACACGTTGGTAGCCAGTTCCCGGCCAACAATGCTTGCCTGGAAATTAAAAGTCATTATAAAATAAAACTTCACAATAATTAATATTGCATTTGCATTCTTTCTGTAATTCTCATACCAAACAAAATTCACTTTTTAGTATTTTCTTTATAGTGACATGTAAACAGAAAGTATGAGTAATAAATATACCATAAAATATTAATGTATTTGTTGCAGTACAAGCAACCCTAATGTAATGCATTATATCTTGCTGTAAGCAATTTACTACAAGAATAAGTAGTATAACTTCATACAGCTCTGCTCCCAGCCATGCATAAGAATTTTTCTAAAACAAATCATGAATGAAATAATTAACTGTAATAATATTGAAATGAGGAAAAATTATGTATAGAGAAGACAGAGCAAAAACCGCATTGCCCAACAAGACTGTCCCCTGCCACTTTTCTGAACAATGTCCTAACTAAAGAGGCTTACAAGACTGAAGAAATTGCAAGCACTTGCATCCTGCATTATTCAGTCTATTTAGCCTTAAGTTTTCCCATCATCAAAAATGCTTCTTATCCTGCTTCCTCATTTCACAGTTTAAAACCCACCTTTCTTTTTGCAGACAGCAAGCCAGAGTAGAAGCTGATCAGCAACACAAGTCTCTCTGCTCAAGGTTTTCATCCAACTTTGACTGCAACTGGTAGACAGAGGTACTTACCGTGTCAACAGATGAAGAGACCACTGATCCAGAGCTTGTTGAATTCATAGAAACAGTCCCTTGAGACTCTATCTGACTTAGAGCATCATTCAAAACACTTATGGATTCTAGAGAAAGGAATTGAAAAAAATCACTCATAAATAGCCATAAATGAGACATTCCAGTTAGGCACAAAACAAACCTGCCAATAAATGAGATATAGCCCAGTACTTCTCAGTTCACTTTTAAAGACAATAAATATACATCTACAAAGTGCGCATAGTGCTGCACTTTACAGGCCTCTACACAACAGCTGATGATAAGTGATCTCTGGTTCCATCAGTTCTGCACCCAGCAGTCAGCCAGTTCAAGTGCCTGAAACACAACTGGTGCTATACGCAACCACTCAAGCCAAGAGGAATAGGTCAGTAAACACTCTGTTTTATTCCCTGAACCACAAATTTAAGGTGAAGATAACAAGCATTATGTATCAATTGTCTCAAAAATAAGCATCTGAAACTTAGTACTGCTTTTCTTATCTTGAAAATTATTTGCAATACAACTAACAGGTCTCACCTCCTGGCAGTTACCCTCTTTCCCAAGTCACATAAATAAATAAAGTCTGAGGCTTGAACGATACCAAGATTACAAGTGATATGATGCATGGCCGAAATACAGAACTCAACTATGGCAAAGGCAGGCCATCAAGAACAGCTTGCTCCCTGAAGCTCAATATAGCTAAAATCAATACTAAATGTTTGTGTGCTGAAAGGAATCAAATAAAAAGTGCTGAAAATCATGCACTGAAAAATAAAGTGTTTGGGGTGGAAGGGACCTTTAAAGGCCATCTAGTCCAACTCCTCTGCAATGAGCAGGGACATCTTCAACTAGATCAGGTTGCTCAAAGCCTCATTCAACCTGACCTTGAATGTTTCCAGGGGTGAGGCATCTACCTCTCTATGCAACCTGTTCCAGCGTTTCACTACCCTCATCAGAAAGCTTTCTTCCTTGTATACAGTCTAAATCCACCCTCTTTTAGCTTAAAACAATTAGCCCTTCTCCTATCGCAACAGGCACTACTAAAAAGCCTGTCCTCATCTTCCTGTAAGTACTGGAAGGCCGCTAGAAGGTGTCCCCAGAGCCTTCTCTTCAGACTGAACAACCCCAACTCTCTCAGCCTGTCCTCATAGGGAAGGTGCTCCAGACGCCAGATCACCTTCGTGGCCCTCCTCTGGACATACTCCAACAGGCCCATATCCTTCTTGTATTGAGGGCTCCAGAGCTGAACGCAGAACTGCACATGGGGTCTCACCAGAATGGAGCACAGGGGGAGAATCACCCCCCTCAACCTGCTGGCCATGCTTCTTCTGATGCAGCCCAGGATGCAAGTGGCTTTCTGGGCTTCTAGCATACATTGCAAGGCCTTTTATTCACCAGCATCCCCAAGTCCTTCTCAGCAGGGCTGCTCTCAATCCACTCATGCCACAGCCTATTTGATAGCAGGGCTTGACCTGACCCATGTGCAGGACCTTGCAATTGGCCTTGTTGAACCCCAAGGTTCACACAGGCCCACCTCTCTAGCTTGTCCAGGTCCCTCTGGATGTCATCCTGTCCCTCAGGCGCATCAATTACACTACTCAGCTTGCTGTCATCTCCAAACCTGCTGAGGGTGTACTCAATCCCACTGTTTACGTCATGCACGAACATATTAAACAGTACTGATCCCAGTATGGACCCCTGAGGGATACCACTCATCACTGATCTCCATCTTCAATGACTTCAAGCTGTTGACCACTACCCTCTGGATGCGACCACCCAAGCAACTCCTCATCCACTGAACAGTCCACCCATCAAACTGGTATCTCTCCAATTTAGAGAGAAGGATGTTGTGGTGAACTGTGTTAAAGGCCTCACAGGAGTCCAGGTAGATGACATCCACAGCTCTCCTTTTGTCCACTGCTGTAGTTACTCCATCAGTGAAGGCCACTAGGTTGGTCAGCCAAGACTTGCCCTTGGTGAAGCGATGCTGACTGTCTTGAACCACCTCTCTGTCCACCATGTGCCTCAGCACAGCTTCTAGGAGGATCTATTCCACAATCTTCCCAGGCACAGAGGTGAGGCTGACAGGTCAAGTAGTTCCTGCTTTGGCGGAGGATTTGGACCAGATGATCTCCAGAGGTCCCTTCCAACTTGTACCATTCTGTGATTCTGTGATTCCCAGGGTGCCCCTTCCTACCATTTTAAAAATGTGAGATGTGTTGTTCACCCTTAACATCAAAGACCTCACCAAAGCTGTTTTTTTAAACTTGTATTTGTGAGCAGCAACAGCACTTGACCTGGATCATACCTGAATCCTTTTGTTCATTGATTCTCAAAGCACATGTATGCAGAAAAAGCTGTCTTTAAGGATGGAAAGTTCTTTCAAGGGCTCTTGGGTTTATTTCTTTATATCCATGACAGACATCAATCGCATGAGACAAATCTATCGTTCTAGGCCCAAATTTCTTGAGAGGTATCAGCAGAAAGTGTATGTTATACTTTACGTCTCAAGGTGGTTTTCATCCTTTAATATCAAAGCTACTTTTAAGATGCCACCCCTTTGGGTTGCATGAAGAGCTTAAGCAAGTTATTAGAATATCACCAAATACAGGCAGCAAAGCTTTCTTTTTTTTTTTTTTTAAATAGAGAAATGGGAAAAATGTTAATTTAATTTTTCCCCCCTGACTCACTACATTACAGAACTTTTCCAGTTAAGAACCCCAGTGCTGACACAATTCCTTCATCTTCCACAGACTGCTAGAGCAGCATGCAACTGAAACGTCTCAATGTATTAATTTATTTCAGTCTTCACTGTTCTTCTGCTGCCTTCCATAAGAAACTCGAATACTATGGCACTAGATTTACAGTAACATTCCATAAGTTGACCAGATATGAATCTTTCATGTGAGGCAGGGTTACACCTTCAAAGAAAGAGTAAATTAGATTATTGCATTAAGAAGTACAAAGGTTATGATCAAACACATTGTTATGACCTAACAATGTGATATGAGATTGCCAAAAAAGAAAGACGAAACATTACAAAATCACTTATAAGTGAGGTTTGGACTCCAATAAGGATGGTTTCAACAGTGCACAGATGCACAGAGCGGTACATGAGTTTTCAGTCATGTAAACACAGAAGTAAGTCCAAAATTAACATTTCAGCAGTAGACTTAACTATGACAACTTGTACTTTTTAATACCTGACTCAACAAGCTAAGTGAAGTTTTTCTAAGGCCCAAGAAATAGCGCAAAGGTTATAATTTTGGCAGAAACAAATCCAGTAGGAACTCTTTTCATTAATATAATTATTTTTAATACTGGGTTTGGGTTTGTTTTTCTTTCAAGTAGTTATACTGTCAGTGAACTCTAAAACCAGCATGGTCTGCTATTATAGAGCAAATGATTACAGACAGCAGGGAAAGATTAACCTGAAGAGCAAAGGTTGAAAGTAGTCATGCCAAAGCCTGCCTCTTTCCAAAAGTATTCCTCTCAGTTTCCAATTAGGGAACAATGCATGTGAAACACACCACTTAACTATGGAAGAAACAGCACCAGTGTTTAAATTCTTTATAAACACATATGAAGAAAGCTGAAATTAAAGCTGGAACAGTTTTCTTCTTATGCAAAATTTTTCTTTATATATACACAAAGCATACATACATGCCTTCCATGTGTTTTACATTAATTCACTCTGCACCAGAGATAAGTTTTTGAAATACGCTAAAAGTCAGAAAGTGAGAACACTCAAAGTTGTTTTCCGTACCTAGATAGCTTCCAAGGGAATTAAAAATTCACATGAACGTAAGAGCAGATTACAGACCTCTAAAATACAAGATTTAGCTGAAACTGGCTCGTACCTTCACAACAGAGGAGAAAAGGGAGACAGAGAGAGAGAGAGAGATTGACTCCTATGGGTGACAGACATAATTAATTCTGTTCTCCTAGATAACGAAACAACTAAACATACTAACCTCTGTAATACATACTACAGAATGCGGTATACAGTATACAATCTGCAAGACAGGGATGGATGTCTTCCACCTATCTCAGTAAACAATTCGATTTCTCCCTTTGCATAATAGGAAGAAGCAGACTAGAACAGCAAGTAGTGCAACATGGAGGCAAGGAATCTAGCTTTGTTTGAGAGGGAATACAAGGAGACAACACGGCAACGTGCAGTGCAATGTGCAACTGTGACCTACTTACTGCACATACACTACACATTCAGAAGCTTCTGTATCACATTTAATTTGTCTTTTCTGCTTATGCACAGGCACAGGAGACCAGGACCTCTCAATACCTCAAAACACAGAATCATGTTACCATGACAAATACATCAGCTCACTAGACGCAGCTGCAAATGAGAGCCTGAGCAATTCTTTTCTAATATTACTTACGCCAAGTCACGTGATTCTGCAATTGCTTCTGCCTAAGGGCATTAGGGAGCCAGTTACAGTGACTCACTGATGTACACTGTAAGTTGATGCTGTGTCCTAAACTTAAGGCTCTGATTATGCCCTGATTATCTTCTTGAAAGATTTCTAGCTTGTTCTGAAGTGGTATAAAGTAAGCTAAAACTATTATTTCAGTTTAATCATTAGAAAGAAAATAACATCACCATACAGATTAGGAAAAAACTCTTAACACAAGTCACTGCAGATTCACTGCTGCCTCAGAGGCAGTGACATTTTCACTTTGCGTTAAGTAGATGGTTACCTTTTACTTCTGGTAAAGGGAATAGGAAAATATATGCCAGCAAAACTACATCTTCCAACTGCCTAAGGCCTAAATTCTCACATAGCTTCTTAAATTAAAAAAAAAAGCCATCTGTTCTCAGAATTTTCTGTTGTTAAAAAGATATCATGTGGTGAATGCACAAGTAATCATGTCTTTTGCTGGTTAAAAGGACTATACGTGAAACTCTGTCAGAGTACAGAGGAACTGCCAGAACTTCTCCAAGTACATTAAGGACTAAGCCTGTAAAGCTTAGGGAATAACTACAGAGAACATTCAAAGACACCTGAGGCATTAAAAGGAAAGTGAAAAGGTAGGCATAGTCAGTTACACCCACTGTGTCAGATAGCTTTTGGGGTAAAGGGAGGAGTTTGGGCAAAAGGCTGTCCAGCAGCTGCTCCTCTAGAAAGGTATAAGGTAACTACCAAGAAAGATTGCTTTACTGAGCACATAATCATGATATCTGAGAAACTTCAATGAGTTACTGAATTAACAACTGCCAAATCAAGAGACAATTAACTACTCCCTATCAATTAAAATTGCACAAACCCTACAAAAGCATATTGTGGCACATAGGCAAGAGCTTTTTAGCTCAATTCAGTTTATGTGCCAATAGAACAACTTAAGCTACAAATTGAAGAAGTGCTTAAAAAAATAGTCAAAAAAGATGGAAAGAAAAATTCAGATCTTTTTACTTAAACTGTTTTTAAAAAAAAAGAATTCAATGTTTTCATTTCTTAAAAGACTACCACTAAAACATAAAGATGAGACAGTACTTCCATTTAGTCTTTAAGAGTTCAGCATTTCCAGCAGAATGACCTTGGCTAAAATACACAACTATGAACACGCTCTAGCTAAACATCAAATGAGTGCTTTGCTAGGCAAGGATGCATTTCATTTATATATCTTTAAGAGAACGACTTCCCCCTATGCTTGCAAAAAAGATAATTCTAAGTAAAAAAAAAGTGCAACATAAATACAAACAAATACAAACATTCAGTTATGTATGACTGTTAGACATGGAAGAAAATTTACCTTTAAATCATCCCAACCAACTAACAGACGACACTCCCAGTTTTATTGTAAACTAGAATGAATAACGTCAAACTGCTCTTATCTGTATGCCCAAATTATGAAACAAGATTAACATCCTGATTATAGGGTTTTCTACTATATTACAAGCAATATTTTATCTAGTTGGTATTTTTTTATAATTATACATAAAGGTTAGTACATGATTGCTCTTCACAGCATCAAATTACTTAAATTAATGAAATATTCTGGGAGAGTTTTAACTCGCAGATATTAGGTATTGTAGCTTTTCATTTTTAATGCAAGTACTCTAATTAGTTTCCCTTATTTAAGAGTTGAATACCTTCAAGCAATGAAGTGGAGACTTTGACACCAGAAAAAAACTTTAAATATAGAACTGAAAAATCTATTCAGCTAACTTCTTCAGAATTTTCCTCATCATACAAAATTCTCACATACAATAAATTAACGCAAGAGTTTTCATTCAGCCTGGCAGTATCTATGGCGTGATGTCACTGAAAGGACAACGCTTGTATTTTGTCTAGGTTTATAACAAAACAGAAGGTAAGGTATGTACACTGAATAGGAGACTCATGCTAATGTAATATTTACAATTTCCTGACTGTAGAAACCTGCTGTGTTGTATTGTAAGCATATTTACTTCAGAAGTTCACAGTCTTGTCCAATTTTTTCTCCCAAGAGCATCAAGACGCAGATGTGAAATACCATATGTAACGCTGAAGCAATTTTAAAAAGAAATTCCCACCTACATCTTTTTTCCTACAACATTTTTCTGCTAGCAACCCATAAAAATAAAATAGTACATGCGACAGGTTGGAGAACAGATTAGAAGCTATAAAGCTGGAATTATGTTGTTATTAATACCATTCCATAGCAGGACAGAGAACATTTATAAACTGACATGCATTTGGAAATCAGACACCTGTAAGCCAAAGATCAGTGAAAACAGTCAGTAAGGTAATACAGACCTACTGTACGGCTGGTTACATTCCTCTACCAAGATCTGAGGAAAAGGACTAAGCGTGTCCTAGTCTGCTTTTGGTTTAGGCATCTAAAAATAATATCCCTAAGGTTTTAACAAAATGCCCTAATGGATTTCAGGACCAACAGCTGAAATATCTACTGTATATCTAGGTATCTTTGAAATTCAGCTGGTATCGTACATGAGGATGC